TCATCTTGGAGATGAGAGAAGTACAGTGTTCAGAATGCATCACTGTGCTGTACACCAGAAATTGACACAGCATTGGAAACCGACTGTGTATCAATAAAATGTTTAAAAAACAATGCAAGAGGTGCTGGCCTCATTTCACATTTTTTTTAAATTTGCATTCTTTTTTATTGAAGTATAGTCAGTTTACAACATTGTGTCAATTTCTGGTGTGCCGCATAATGTTTCAGTTGTGTATATACATACATATATTTCTTTTCATATTCTTTTCATGATAGGTTACTACAAGATATTGAATATAGTTCCCTGTGCTATTCAGAAGAAACTTGCTGTTTATCTATTTTACATATAGTAGTTAGTATCTGCAAATCTCAAACTTCTAACTTATCCCTTCTATCTCACTTTTGAAAAAAAAAGCCACACTTAACATATTAAAGTATTTATGTCTTTTAAAGGTTTTAGAGATTCAATATACAATATCCACGAATTCAGAACCAGCTGGAAAATAAGACATAGGAAAACAACAGACAGGTTGCACTGTCAGTTTTATTATTGATAAACTAATTAGAGAAAGTAACTTTAGATCTGTGGACAAAAGAGCCTGCTGTGCCTACAAGCACGCCCTGCACCCCAGTGCACACACTCAAAGCCTCCCTCAGCTCTCAAGGGAGAGTCCAGAGCTGCCTCTGCCTGGGGCAGGGAAGGGAGGGAAAGGAAAGGCTTACATTCCTTTTATAGATTTGTTCTACCCAATTGGTGGAACACCTGTCATCACCTAACAATTAAGTGGCTGGCTTCTCTGTAGGAAGAAGTGAGTGAGTAGTGGACTAGTAGCCAAGAGTCTGATTCCAGTAGGGGCCCTTCAACATAGAAACACTGACCAAATGAAAGGAGTTTCCTTCTCAACAGCAGTCAGTTCTAGACTCCTCATCAGATAAAATCAGGGCATGTTGAGACCATGACCAGGAGAGCTCAGACCTTTGAAACCTTGTATCATACTCGCAAATGGTTGCAGGGCAAGGCTACATGAAATTAACACCTTCCTTCCAACAGCTGAATGGGTGGCCAATCGGTCTGCATGGCCACCTGGCAGAGACATTCTACTTGCCCCCTGCCCATTGTTCCCAGCATCCCGTTCAGTTAGGCGAGGCCACGTGACTAGTCCTGCCCAGTGAATTGTGAGCAAGGCAGACATGTCCCCTGTGGCCTGAGGCCAGTCCGTCCTTGGTTCCTGGGTCTCTCTTTCCCTGTGCTGCAGTGACCCGGGAGGTCCCATGTTCCAGATGGTGCAGCTTTGCTGGGTGGGGCATCGGTCAACCTAGGTCCTGAGTGAATGAGAGAGAAGTTCAAGATGGCGAGGCCGTGGCCGGGGGAATGATGAGAGAAGGAAGCGCTTTCCAGAGTGTAGAACCTGTTCTGAAGCCAGGAACCGTCTCCATCCCCGGGAGATGAGGCCTGTGAAATACCCGCTCAGGAAGACATAAGAATTTCTGCAGACCAGTTGTGGCCGAGCAAGGCCCGTGAGGCCTCCCAGGGTCAGACCCCTTCCCCATGGCCTCTGCTGTAGCTCCTCCCGGAATCATCCACATAACAGTATCTCATGTGTATTTCCTGAATGTTTCAGATGCTGAAAACCACCACCAAAAGGAAGAAATGAACAACTTGGTGATGGAGAGCACGTGCCCCCCTCCCAGACCTTCTGGCGCCTCAGGGTTGATACTGTTGATCGCTCTGTTCCCTCGACATCAACCAGTCAGAAGATTGCGCACAAGCTGATCACATACCCTGCAGAACTGCCCCCCTCACCTCCTGCCTTTATATATGCTTGGTTGAAACCCTTCGGGGAGTTCAGGGTTTGCTTGGGGCATGAGCCACCCCGTCCTCTTTGCTGGGCCCTGCACTGAACCTTTCTCTGCTCCAAACTCTGATGTTTCAGTTTGTCTGGTCTCATGGTGCGGCGGGCACAGGAACTTGCCTCCAGTAACACAGTGAGCGCCGCACCCCTCTCATGCTGCAGAGCGCACCATTCCAAAAGGGGTGTTTGCTGACACTATCTTGACTCTGCTCTGTCATCATGCAGTGGGTGTGGGGGGTTCATACAACCTGTCTTTTTTAGTTCATAAGTCTCTGAAGCAAGAGTGACCATATTCAGGCCTGATACAGAGGCTATCATGGGATTCCACAAAAATCTCAAGCCTTGATTTGATCTGACTGTAAGCACCCGCTCCTGTGGAGGGGTTAATTAAAATCTGTATTTGGAAAAAGGAGAGCAAAGGTATGTTGGTGACCTGAAGGGGAGACTACAAACGCCGTGGTTCAGCAAGGCTACATGCCTTGGTCTGGCCAGTGAGCCGTGGATGGCAGTGACCCCAGGTGTCTGTTCCTGTGACCCAGACGAGAGGCTGAGGAAGCTATGCTGAGAACACAGAGCCACAGGCCTGACACATCCTCCACTCTGCGTCACCGCGTGCAGGACAGCCCCCCTGGAGACTTACATGGGCCTACACACATTCCATGAAATTACTGTTAAGTTAAACCACTGAGAGTCAGGACCGCTTCTTCCTGAAGCATAGACGAGCTATACTGGCATATAAACCACAAGGAGCAGAATTCAGAAGTTCCTCAGAGCTCAGTCTGGGTCTTGTTCTCCTTCTAACTCTGTGGGCTCCTCCTAGGGGATGTTATATTCTCCCAGGACTTTAAACACCACCGACATGCAGGAGAGCCGACTCCCAAGCTTGCCCCAGGCAGTTCTTGGCTTGCACTTGCTGTCCTGGCAAAA